TCTGGAATCCTCTCTTCCCTCCTAGTTACTAACACACACCCCCCTCCAGGTACACACCCTTGGTCCTGGCCCATGGCCTTGCCCCTCCCCTCTCCCTCAGGCTCAGCGCTGAGGAATGCAGCAGCAGAGGCTGCCCAGCCTGCCCAGCCTGCCCAGGGCTATGGGTCCTGGCTGGCAACCCACAGGGGAAGGCAGGCCTTGGGTCAGCATTCCTAGAGTCCCACAAGTCACTCTCTCTAAGGCTTGGGTTTCCCGTCTGCAAAGTGGGGACAGTCGGTCCTCTGGCCCTTCCCGACAGGTGTACGGAAGGGGGCTAGCACCCTTGGCCAGAGTTCCAGGGGCAGACCCCACAGGGTGGGAGATTTTGTTCTCTTGAATCCCATCCTTTCCTAGAATCTGTTCTCGCGCCTTGCTTCATTGTAGAAGGGGCTGGTGAGGCCTGGGTGTGGCAGGGCAGAAATGAAAGTTGTCCTGGCAACTTACAGGCTTCATCTGCCTTTCCATCTAGCAGGGGTGTATGAGCTCGCTTCAGAGCCCAATATTGCTGGCACGTTGGAGGTATCTGCATCACCCAGGCTGGCGCAGCTGTCTATTCTGTGCAGATAGGTGAGGGGCTCCCCTCAGAGGGAATGAACCATGCAGGCGATTAGGCTCCGAGGAGCAGGGAGCACAGCTGAGGGGGCTCCAGGAAAGCCAGGCCACAGCTCCGCTGGGATCAATTCACTGTCGTCCGCTGCTCGTGGGCCGATTTTCCACGAGGAGAAAACTTCCCTGGCATGCTTACCTGTAAGTGCCCTTCCCCTGGCTGCCCGATGTCGGGGTGGGGGCTATCAAGGACAAGGAGACACAAGGCGCCCATACCTCATCTAGCCCAGCCCCTCTGAATGGTGGGGAAGACGGGGAGAACACAGGGAACCCGGGAACACACCCTGAAGGAACCCCTGGGCTTGGACCTTCTCCAAGATCCCAGCCCCCTCTCCTCTGGGGAAGCTCCCAGCTCCTCCCAGCGATCTGGCACCTTAAGTCAAGTTCTGGCTGAACCCAGGGGCTCCTGACTGAGCCCCCTCCCACCTCTACACCCCCCTCTAGGAAACCTTCAGAGCAGTCTGACTGCTCCCCAACACACGGAGCAGAATTCAAGCATCCTGGAGATCTTGATAGGACCCCAATGCAGACGTCTACTGTCCTCCCAGGCTCGGGGCAAGGGGGCATTAGGACCCCAAGTCCCAAGCCTTTCTGGGATGAATGTGCTTTGAATCTCAGAGCCCTAGTGAAACCAGTCCCAGCCACTGCATTTGATTTCACCAAAACCATTTATTTTCTCTGTGAAAAATAAGATGCCATTACCCTAGCCGAGTTGGCTCAGTGGATAGAGCATTGGCCTGTGGTCAGAATGGTCCCAGATTCCATTCTGGTCAGGGAGACATGCCCGGTTGTGAGCTCGATCCCCAGTAGGGGGCGTGCAGGAGGCAGCCGATCAATGATTCTCATCATTGATGTTTCTCTCTCTCCATCTCCCTTCCTATCTGAAATTTTAAATAATAATAATAATAATAATAATAATGCCATCAAAGAACAAACTGTGGAAATGACAAGGTGGAATTCAAACTGTTCTCAGGGGGCACAAGGGTGATGGGAGTGATTTTCATCCACCACCTGCCACCTTGAGACCCAGCTGGCCTACATGTGCATTAAATGGAACTGTCTCCTTGGGCTAAACTGGTGAGGGGGCACCCCGAGGTGCCTGGCTGCCCTCTTGATTCCACATCTCATTCTCCTGCCGAAGCCGCTGGTTCTCTGTCCGGAGCCTCTCCACCTCAGCAGCCAGTTCCTCAACCTGGCGACAGGACTGGCGGCTGGCGCGCCCCTGCAGCTGCTGCAGCTTCCGGGTCTCCTCCTCAGCCAGCGACAGCCTGCGCTCCAGATCCAGGTAGTCCTGCACCAGCTCCTGCTTGCTGCGGCCCTGCAGGCTCTCCGTGTGGAAGCGCTCATAGGTCTCCGAGAAGTCCCTCTGCTGGAACTCGCCAGGAGCTTGGACCGGCCCGCCACTGTCCTCGGCCTCACTCTCTTCACTGGAGCCTGGGTGCGAGGCCCCCTGGGGCACATCCAGGTCAGGCTCCTCGGGGTTTCGGTCATTCATCAGGAACTGGGTGGTGTTGTAGGGCGCCACAGCTTGGCCCTTGGCGAACATCTCCTCTCGGAGCCGGGAGGCCCTCTGGCCCTGCTTCTCGTCCCGCTGTTGCTTCTCGTCCCAGCTCAGCTCCAGGTAGGGCCGCCAGTGCCGCTTGCGCTTGGAGGGCCGCCGGCGGTGCTTCTTGCGGCCCAGCACCGCCTCCACTGAGCAGCCCCTGGGGTTCTGGGTCCGGGCACCCCTACTATTGCAGCCCAGACCACCGCCAGCCCCGGAAGGATCTTCCTCCTCTGAGTGGCTCTCCATCTGGGGTGTCAGGGGCAGGGAACCAGCAGGGTCATGAGGCTCTGGGGGTGTTTCTGGGCTCCTAGAAGAGTCAGAGGCCTAAGGAGAGAACATGAGGATGGGTCACAGCCAGCCTGTGCCTGGAATCCTTCCCTGCCTCTTCACCCCCTCCCCACCCCCACCTCTAGCTCTCAGCCTTCTGCAACCATTTGTTTATGGCTTACCAACCTGTCTCCTGTCTGTCCCCAATGGGCCCTAAGCAAACTAGGCAAGAGCAGGCATTTCACCTGCGTATTTCACTGCAATTTCAATGCCTCCCATCAAAAAAGGCCCAGGCTTTGCTTAATGCTCTGCTGTCATTGTCTTGAACTTCTTAATATTTTTTTAAATCCTTACACAGGATATGCTTATCGATTTTAGAGAGAGGAAGGGGAAGGGGGGGAACATTGACGTGAGTGAGAACATCAATTCGTTGCCTTCCGTACCTGCCCCAACCCAGGATTGAACCCACAAGCTAGGTACATGCTCCGACTGGAAATTGAACCCACAACCTTTTGGTATTCGAGAGGACCCTACAAGGCCCTTCTTTACTGATTTTTGAATAAAGAGCCCTTTGCACTGAGCCGCACAAATTATGTCGCTGATCCTGCTTCGGGGTACTTGGATAGCTGACTCTTTGTTGTTGTTGACTTGTTTTGTTTTAATCCTCACTCGAGGATATTTTTCCATTGATTTTTCAGAGAGACTGGGAGAGAGAGGGAAAGACAGAAATATCAATGTGAGAGAAACACATCGATTGGTTGCCTCCTTCCCGAGCCCCGACCAGGGCCCAGGCCAGGGAGGAGCCTGCAACCGAGGTACATGCCCTTGACCAAAATTGAACTTCAGTCCGCAGGCCGAGGCTCTAGCCACTGCGCAAAACTGGCCAGGGCGGATAGCTGACTCTTTTCATCCTTTATTTAGGGCTTTGTTCCAACGTCACCTCTTCAGAGAGGCCGTTCTTGACCAGCCTATCAAAAGTAGCCCTCTCATCTCCCCTTCCCACTAACTCCCTATCACGTGACATAGTTAACATCATACATCACATTTAGCACGTTACCTTTCTCCTGTAAGAATGTGACTTGTCTGTCCAGTTCACCACTGTGTCCCTGTGTATGGCCCAAGGTAAGCACTTAATAAAAACATGTTAAATGACATAAAGCCCATAAGAGGGGGATCCAAAAGATACTGGAACACAAGATTCTCTTTTCTGTCATTCTAGGGTGAAGAAGATGGAGTGCACCCTAACCGGTTTGGCTCAGTGGATAGAGCATCAGCCTGCGGACTGAAGGGTCCCAGGTTCGATTCCAGTCAAGGGCATGTACCTTGGTTGCGGGCACATCCCCAGTAGGGGGGGTGCAGGAGGCAGCTGATAGATGTTTCTCTCTCATCGATGTTTCTAACTCTCTATCCCGCTCCCTTCCTCTCTGTAAAAAAATCAATAAAATATATTTTTTTTAAAAAAGAAGAAGATGGAGTGCATTTACTCCAGGCAGAAGTTGGTATTCATCCACATGAGGGGCAGGAAAGAGATCCTAACTAGGGAGAGGAAAGGTCAAACTCTAGTCTGCAGCTGAGAGAATTCTAGAACTTATCTAAGATGCGCAAAGGATTCTGTCTCGAGAGTGTGTGTTCAGGGCAGCGGGTTATCTCTGTCATGGTGAGGGTGGGAGTACGGAGTGGGGAGTGGGGAACGAGTTGCTCTAAGTTTGTGGTTTGGGGAATTCTAATAATAACTACTATCAGTGGGATGTTGTTTTATAATGTACAACAGTTCAGAGACCTCTGGGCATGGGTCCATATAAGCCTAGGGTGTGTATCGGGGGATGTATGCAGCCCTGTAAGAGCTGAAGGTGTGTTACCTGCATTTGGGAGACCCGGAAGAGAATGTCAGGGAAAATGAAGTATGTTGGAGTGTGTGTGCATGCGTATTTGTGTTGTTTTGTTAATTCACCTGCAGGGAGGTCAGTTAAGAGTAACTGCCCTGTCTTCACCAGTGTTTTAGGTCAAATGAGACAGAGCTCTGCCCCACCCTGGAAGAGGCAGTCCGCTGGGAACTCTTAAGGCAGGGTGGCTTGTTTTTGTGTGCACAATAATTCACCAACCCCCCCTCCACCCCCCCACTCCGCCCCTCAGCTAAAGCTCCCTAATGATCTTTCCCCTCACCCAAATCAGCCCTGCCCCTCAGCCCCACATGCTGCCTCCCTCCTAAAGGCTTGTCCCTCTACTACCATTACCACTATTGCACAGAAGCTGTGTGATCTGGGTGAGTCATTTGCCCTCTCCGAACCTTCTAGCCCTGGCATGTCATGAAGTCCAAATTAAAGAAATCCAGGAAATACTGGAAGTGGCTAGATAGGGTGAGTCAGAGGAGCTGAGTTCTCCTCTCAGCTATAAGGAGTTGTGGACTCGGGGAGAAGAATGGGCAAGGTGGGGGCAGTGAGCAAGAGCAGCGTCTGGAAGGGTTTGGGCTCCTGTTGCCAGATCAGAAGGTGACATTCTAATGGCTTCATACAATCTGTCTCTTCATCTCTCCTGGGTGGTATCTTAGCCCCCAACACATCCCAAATTATGAACCAATTGCTCGAACTCTTTTCCCTGTTTTAGACTTGGTTCTTAGCCTGGATGAGGCAGGGTTCTGTTGTCAGAAGGCCCTAAGTTTAAACCCCGGATCTGTTGCTTGCTGACAGCATGATTCTAGAAAAGATATTTCAGCTCTGAGAAGCTTAACTTCTGTGGCCCAGCCGGCATGACTCAGTGGTTGAGTGTCGGTAAACTTATGAGCCAGGAGGCCATGGTTTGATACCCGGTCAGGGAACATGCCCGGATTTCGGGCTCCATCCCCAGAGTTGGGTGTGCAAGAGGCAGCCAGTCAATGATTCTCTCTCATCATTGATGTTTCTATCTCTCTCTCCCTCTCTGAAATCAATAAAAATATGTATATTTTTATATGTATATACTTTTATTGATTTCAGAGAGGGAGAGAGAGATAGAAACATCAATGATGAGAGAGAATCATTGACTGGCTGCCTCTTGCGTGCCCCCCACTGGGGATTGAGCTCACAAACCCGGCATGTGCCCTTGACCTGAATGGAACCTGGGACCCTACAGTCCGCAGGCCAACGCTCTATCCACTGAGCCAAACTGGTTAAGGCAAAAAATATATATATATTTTTAAAAAAGAACCTTAGCTTCTGTGAAATGGAAATAAGTCCTATCCTGAAGGGCTACTAGGATGTCATGAGATAGCACAGATTTAGCATCTGGCATATTACTCAGCGCATAGTAGGAACTCATTTAAACATATTGATTTTTCCAAATCTGCCAACACATCTGAGACAAGAAACCAGTCTCCCAGATGGCACGATCCATGTTCAGGGCATTCCGGGGACTGGGAGGGCGAGCCTTACCTTGGCCTCCTCCATGGCTGCTGATCGCTCTGTATTACAGTTGGTCTGGTTCGGAGGGGCCACCTTCTTCTGTTCCAAATCTCTCAGCAGATGCCTTTAACTAGTGACACCTGCTTTAAACAACAACAGAAACCTAAGTCCTGAAGGAGAATTCTCAGGAAGACGGGCTGCCCGGGAGTTTTTTACCAAGGCAACAGCAGCCATTTTGTAGCACCAGACCTGCACAACCTCATTTTCAATTGAAGGCCCGGGAGGCTGCCTCCACCCTGTTTTTCACACCTGCAGCCAGCAAGGGGCCAAATGGGGATAAAGAAACCACCTTCCCCGCCCTGTTTCTCAGGCCTCAGGGCCAGGCCGACATCCTATGCTGCTCACCTGGAAGTCACTGAGGACCAGGCTGGCAGCTAGGAACGCAGGACTAGGCTTTGTTCCCCCAACAACCAAAGTGGGAAAGCAGGCTGCCTGGGGCGGCCACTGTGCACACAGCAACGCCCTGGAGAGACTCGGAGTGGACTGGGTCGGTGGCTCCAACAAGAGGGGGTCCTCTCCAGAGGCCTCAATCTTAACTGCGGCCCCCCAACCCCTACCCAGGCTGGGCTCCAGAAGTCAATGCCTCAAGAAACACGCCTGGGGCCTGAGCTGAGCCTGGGACTGAGGCCTTTTCATCGCCAGGGCATGGCCTGCCTCCCTACTTCCTCTCAGGGTGGGAAACAGAGGAAAGGGGCTTCACATTATAGGGAGCTGGGAAGGAAACCCAAACGGGGTAAGGATGGATTCTTTAGAAGAGAGGAAATGGTCGGGGAGAGAGGTTTTGCAAAGGCGGAACTGACCTATTTGTTGTCAAGGGCAAGGGCTATGCACACCGACTACATCTGTTGTCTTTCTGTGCAATCGCCCGTCTGCAATTCCAGCGCCTCAGCCCTACCTCTTGCTGCAGTTGCAGCAGCTCTCCCCGGTCAAGCCGCTCAGGGGCTAAGGTTGTGGGGCGGGGAGGAAGGGGGGAGGGAACAGCCTTTACAGCGCGGTGCCTGCTGGGGATTGTAGTTCTTCTGGCCTTGGAAGGCGACCCAAGATCCTGTCACGTCAACAGCTACCCCGCGAACTCCAAAACCCATCTAGCCTTGCGCGGGAGTCATCCCGCGCTCACCTCTGCCTTTTTACTGGCCGGCTCGTCTGTCAATATTTCCGCTTATGTCGACGTTTGCCGTGCGGAAGCACAACCGGATTCTCCTCCCAAGCTCAATTAAAGAGTTCATTGATGGCGTTAATCTTTACTAGGCAGAAAATAGATCCGGCCGAGGGGGGAGGGGCTGTGGGCGCGGAGGGATCCCGGGCCCTAGAGGAAGGCGACGAGAAGGAGCGGTGGCCGCCGCCGCCATTTTGGGCTGGGAGGAGGCAGCGGAGGGACTCGCTGCACAGTGAGAGCACCCCCTGGGGGGCGGTCCGGGCGTGGGGCGAGACCGGGCCCAGTGGGCTGCCTGAAGTGGCGACGCCGGGAGACGGCGGGAAGTGGGATCGGGGACCTGGGAGGTGAAGGTTGGAGTCTTCCCAGCCGGGCCTGGTCCTCAAACCGTCCCGGCAGCCTCGCCGCCTCGCCTCTCCCGGAGGGCGGGGTTCTTGGGTCATTACCGCGTGTTTCCCGAGACCCCAGGTTGGGGAGAGACCGAGTGAAGCGACTCTCTTCTGCTGTCCTCCCACGGGGGCGCAGGTCATGCGGCCGAGCGTTGTCAAGTTCTTTTCCCGGCCCCATTCGGCCTGGGTATGGCGGCCACCCCCGCCCCCACTTCGACGGGCGAAGTGGCCAAGACGCCAGATTCCAAAGACTGT